ACATTCGGGTTTGTAACGAATGTTAACGGGATGATTTACGTGCATCGTGTTTTTATCTCGGGACCGATAAACGGTTTGTTGGCGGATTTGTATCCGATGCTGGTTGTGTCAGACCAGTAGTTAGTATTATGTTTTTTTCCGGAGTCCTTCTTTATGAAGTGTTTTGTTTACTTCGAGGTTGACTATAACATTGTGTGTAGTGTAACCTTATAATTATTTTGTTTCATTTGTCACTTTGGACAATGATGTCGTTTTGTCTCCCATCTTGATGTCGGGCTAATTACGAGCATTTTATGTAAATTCGATCACTTTCGGGGAATTTCGGGAACTGGAATATCAGGCATGACATAAGTAGAAGCCACCGCCGACCGGAATAAGGTATAGGCGGCAACGTGAATCTTTACTGCCAAATCTCGCGTAGTCTCTCTTTCGCACCTTTCGCAGGTAAGTGGCTCTGCCATGCACGCAACCCGCACTCGTATTCTAAACAAAGGTCTGACCTTTTCTAGAAACGATGACGCACGTGACCTACCGCACACCCCGTAATGTCGACCTCACGCTAAAAAATTTTAAGCGACCCTTTGACCACGTCTGGATAAGGTAGCATCCCGTCGTCTTAACTTTATTCTGTAATGGAGTACAAAGCGTGTCTCGTTACGCGTGTAGTCAGTCTCACATATTTGCCGCCGACATAGGTTCCGTTTTTTTAGGAGCAAGAGACGTCTGTGTCGTCGTCCTAAGCTTCATGTAGCGCCAGTAGCTCGCCCTGTGAACGTCGAGAACACCATCCAACGTGATTCACTCTTGCTGTAGACTATGACTGTCTCGTGTCAGTAATACTCTAATATGCAGAGAAGACCGAAGATGAGAAAGTGGTGCGTCATTTTGGATCGTTGCCTCTGTCGGCGTTCGTCGCAAGGAGACACCTCAGTTAATCGCCGCCGTTAGCTCAAAAACTAACGGAAGGGTGTTATTGAAGTCGCGGGTCAACAGTAACAGACTGATCCAGCACAAGTAACGATTCTAATAATTGGGCTACTCTGCATGAGATCTCGGCACACAGCATGCTTCGCAAGGTAATATTTTTGTTAACAGATCGCGACGATTCATATAGGTCACGTGACACTTTCGAAGTAGTATACCTAGACATACATGGAACTCTTTAACGATCAGGGACTCAAGTATGAAAAGTGACTTTATCACACGTCTATAAGTAACGTCGAGTGTCAGCTCCTTGATAGACAACTAGGCTCTTATCGCAGCTCTCTACTCGAGCTGGAAGCGGACATGACACCTGCTCTCGTTAGTTGAACTAGTGGTGACTGGAAGAAGTGTCCGTGAACTACGTCGCTGACAGTCCTATTGCCATCTGGACTTGGCGAGGTGCTGCGACTTGTCAAAACCGACATCGTGATGCTACCGTATGTGTCGAGATCATAAGTGCTGGTTAAATCTACTGTCGGTAATGATAGTTTGAGTAACAAGCGTTATCTCAAATTCACTACCGACGCGGTAGATACTACCCTCTCGCATGTATCGGGTAGGCCGTCGTAATAGAATACCGCGCGCCGTTCCGTGTGACACGTTCCAGAGCATTTCACTCCGACCGGAGTGGTAGCGCTGTATAGGTGGAGTAGAACGGTAGGAGTAGCTGTGGGAACGCGGACGAACTACGAGGAACACTTGCGGAAGTTGTTTCAATATAGTTCGGGCCAACAGGCAGTGTGTACGTCAGTGAAAATGCAACGATTCAGGTATCGAAAACTCTACTGCTTACTGAAGGTAAGTCGAGACAACGATTATTCGCAGCATGCACACAGGCTAGGGGGATATTAGGACATATGTTCGACTAGCGTCTGTAGGATAAGCAAGTTCCTTGATATGACGTAGCTAGGTTACGTGTCAAGTGGGTGGTCTATTTGAAGAACAACAATCGTGAGGTATATATGACGCGGGCATACTGTGTATTCGACGCGTAGCTATCAAAACGGAGGTCAGCGAGGAAAGGTCACTATCCGTAATAAAAGAACAATAGGTTGAGGAAACCGTTTACAGAAAGATAGACCGTTGTGAACGACTTTTAATTTCTTCTATCTACTATATTTCAGCTACGAATCTATACTGTGATTACGAGGCTCAAATATCTGACCCGATTTTTTTATAAATTTATGGCCATTCATAATGACATTACTGATTCCACGATCATACATATCCGTTACGTAGAAAAGATGCGTGGTCCGTCGTCATATTGTCGATTGTACATGTTTTGCTCACCTTTATCTACGCTCAGGTGGGTGGTGGTGGTGTGTGTGTTGTGTGCGTGTGTGTGGTGTGTTGTGTGTGTGGTGTGCGTGATGGTGTGTGTTTGTCGTGTGTGTCGTCTGTGTTGTGTGTGTGTCTGTGTTATGTGTGTGTGTGTGTGTGTTTTATGGTGTCATGTTAATGCACGCGACCAGCGGATTGTACCTCATGTCGGAGTCGCACCAGGGCATAGATGACATGAATTGCTTTCAGAGATACGCTTTGCTAATCTGAATGGAAACAGTAACCAGACAACTGTCCCTATAACGACTGTGAAAAGATTTACGCCGCTGATAGGTGTACGCTCTAACGTACCTCGACACTTTGGTCCCGTGCGTTAGTAGTTTATTGTTGTAAGTAAATCGCCAAGACTCCGAACCAGCCGCAGTTCGGTCGACGCATGCCCATACGTGCGAGACCGTCCGCCATTCTGGTCTCTCAATTTCTTTCAGGAGATAGTCTCGCTTGCATCTGAAGATGGAACGCAGTCACCCTTCGAACAACTGTCCCTAACGGACGGAGAGACTGAAATGTCTCAGACAGACATGAGTGGTATACAGTCTCTAACGTACAGAAGTGTTGTATGAGAGCTCGGTGCTCAGAGAATTGACAGAAGCCCCAAGGTCTTAGTATGTGTTGCTTTTCTCGTATTGCGCCGCTACGCGACGCGCAGCACTGTCAAGCTCGAGTGCGAAGAGTATCATTCGAGTAAGATATTAAGAGCGCCGGCCGTCTAGAGAGCTGATTGAATCACAATCGCACCCCACCGGTTCAAGGTTGTGGGACGTGCGGCAAGGGTGGATTATATCTGCCTAATGTCGAAAAATCCGCGCTAATCGTTAATAGCATGTAGTGTCCACCGCGTTGGTAGATCAGGCGTCTTCCGCTGTTAACGACGAATTCAGCCCCAGTTCTACCTTCAAGCCAACACACCCACCGTTTAGGATTCGAAAGTTTTCCATCTGGGTCATGGCGCACAAAGTAGGTCAGACCCGTTTGGAATCTCCGTTTTGGGCACGACGCTAGGTTCGTAATTTTTTTCCTCTTTACTTTATAGCAAGCCCGTCACCTTCATTTTTTTTTATTATATCCCCTTTCATTTGACATGTCAAGTGTTTCATCGCGCTTCCACTTCTTATCCCCTGTGTTCTCCTAACTCGTATAGTTATCGACACAAAAATCGTCAATACCTTTTCGGACTATCGAGAGTAGTTATTCGGACAGACAGACTTCAACTTCAACAACTGGCTCAGTCACAACTAGTAACCAGACCTAGTCGGTCTCCCCCGTGACCTACGTCGTCTTTTGCACTTACTGAGTTCGGCCGAATCGTGAAGCAAAAACAAAACATGCACAATATTTACTATACGAAACTTAATACGATTTACTTGTCTTCTTCTTACCGACTAACCCCTATCTCATTTGTCTTGTCCTCCCATACATCTTGCCACACCACAAACGATTCGTAAGGTAAAAGCGTTCTCTCTGTTTGGTCTTTTAAACTAGTACCTTATATTGTGTATACACGTCCGACAAACTCCAAACACCCCGTCCTTGTACCGTATGTGCCATGTTCCAAGTAGTGCAGTCCTGTTGTCGTCCGAAGTGTGTGTGTAGTGTGTCGTGGTGTGGTGTTGGACTGAAAATGGCTGAGCCGTAAGCTATTCCTTGAGGCATAATCCTTTTCGTATTTTTGATAAAGCTTCTTCTTTGTCCACTCAATACATTCAAACTTCTTGTGCTTGGAACTTGAATTAAATAAAAGAAAGTAACAAAAAGAAAAATATATTGCACACCTTGTCATTTCATAATGTTATAGATTTCATTATAGTGAGCTCTAGCTCTATTGTATTTAATATATATATAGGCCTAGACTTATAAATATTTACAGTATCTCTACTATAATTGACCAGACTTTGATCCTTTGTCTGCTTTAAATAAGTTTATAAGTTGTTAGTAGCCTTAAGGGCCTACACAGTTGTTATGCTATACCACATTGCCCTTCACTGGATGTATAATGAGCTGCACTAAACTACATTTTAGCATTTAAAATAACTAGCCATTATTTTGCGGTTATTTTGGTGAAAGTAACTAAAAAAGTAACTAAAGTAGTGTAACTCATTACATTTCAGAGACAGTAATATTGTAATGTAACTTATTACTTTCAAAAGAGAGTAATAAGTAATATGTAATATATTACATTTTGGAAGTAACTTGCCCAACACTGTAAACAGGGCAACTGTGACCGGTTGCTTGCCAAATAGTGAGCCCACATTTATCTGTACTGCTAAGCCTTCTATTGGCTACCTAGCTTACTTCGTCTCCTTCATCAGCCAGCATCCTTGGTGTCTGTTATTCACTGAGTTGATTCTCGCTAAGTAGCCAATATAAGGCTTAGTCATCTTGCCAAATAGTGAGCCTGTGTTGAAGTATGAAAACTATGTTAGAACTGGTTTATAAATGGTTCTTAATCATTAATAAAGTGCTTACAACCTAATTAATAAGGGTAATCTTATTGTAAAGTGGAACCGAGTTTTCTTTATGAAGCAACTTTTTTTTCATAAATATTTTCAGTCTTGGGTACAAAACTGGGCCTTGATGAAGTTCCTCTCATCCTATGGTCTTGAAGAATTGCTAAAATACACAGCCTAATATTGATGCACTTCCTCTGAAAATAGGCCATCCTGCCTAGGCTGTGTGATACCAAAGTCTCCTTGAACAATTTATCAATTAAAAAAGCAACCCAAATGAGAAAAAAACCAGCTGCTCATTGTACATATTTTATTTGCACAATGTCTGCTAACATCAAATATGGGAGCGGGAAGAAATCATTTAAACTTTAATTTAATGAGACCAAGAATCTAAATTTGATTCTGAAAAGCTGTTTATGCTAAATGTCATTTTTGGCTTTTTGCATGGTTAATATATAGTTGATTATTTATAGCATTATGAGCACTATATGGACAATATATATAAATTGAGGACGCTGAATACTTTTCTGACCTTTACAGAACTCAAAAGGGCAATTTAAAGTGGCCATATTTTAACTCTTTGTGGGCCAATCTTTTCCAATTTTGACTCTAATGGTTGGGTTTTAGCTTAGATTCTGAACAGCAAGAAAATGCATTTTAAAGTGCTGTACTGCTGGATAACTGCCATTGTCCATGAAGGAGCCAAGTCTAAAAGTTCTTTAAATGTAATACATTGTCAGAGTGTTGTATTTGCTTTACAGGAAGCCAATGGAGTCAGGCCAAGGTGGTTGAGAGAAAGAAAAAAGAAAAAAGGTGACCTTTGGCTAAGGCTGGCAAGGAGACGGTTCTGCAAGCTGATTTGGAGTAAAAAGGAAAATCCAAAGAAATAAAGGGTTTATTTTTTCACAATAACGCTGAGTTGTAAGAAACAGTATTTTTTTGACATGTGGTTCAAAGCCAGGTCACAAAAGAAAACTAACACCATAGTTTCTGGCACCAGGGTCTGACAACCCAGCAGGGTGCCAAGAAAACTCCCTGCAGCTCTTGTAAAGTTTTGAACAATAAAATGTCAGTTTGGATTTGAAAACAGTGCTATGCCATCCAACACACATAATACTTAGGTCTACTAGAGATGCAATTCAGTGAGATCAAAATACATGATACATTTAAACCTAAGCAAATTAGCATTTCATCAAATTAACTGCATAAAAACGTTAATAAAAGGACGAAAATAATATTCCAAAATAGTGCTTCTGGTCAGTTTGCAGCACCTTAAGCATCTGAGGAATGGCCCTGACTTATTGGTATTTACACCAGGAAACCATTACAACGTCATGGTAAATGTTTGTATTAAATGGAGGCGTGTGGCGCAGTGGATAGAGCCTTGGTGTTGGGGTCAGGTGGTCACAGGTTCAAACCCCACTGCAGTCATTGTGTCCCTGAGACACTTCACCCCAAATTGCTCCTTTGGGGATTGCCCACAGTATTGAGTTAAGCTGGTAACAATAACAAATTATAATAAGTGAATAAAGAAAGTACTCCTTATTAGAAAGCACAATTTGTTTGTATTCCAATTCTGGTTATAATCTACATTGCAGACAAATACAGTTTTTCCCTGTTCCTTTTAATAAAGACTTTTGGACTTATTTAGAAAAATCCAACCAAATATTCACCTTTCTTTCCTGGAAGTTCTTGCCATTTTCATTACACAGAAATCACCTTCTCTCAATAGCTGTTAGCCTTATGAATATCAATAACTCATCCAAGTGACACACAAGAGCAGTGTTTTTTCTTGGCGTGTACAGGAGAATTGCTTTTAGTGTAAGTATCAGCCTCCATTTCATTCTCTCCAACACATTGTACGTGATAGGCTAAGGGGCGGGACAAAGCATTTGACCAAGACTGGGCTCAGGTTTCAGACAGAGGGTGAAAAGATATAATCCAATCCTGAAGATTTAGACCCACAGTTTAAAAAATGTCTGGGCTTTTTTTACTACACGTGCATTTAATGCTTTACTGCCCATCACTGCCGTGTTAAAGTGGGGAACAAATGTTTTGTTTTGTCACTCTGTAAAACCATCTATACAAGAAACACATGGTGAATGGGAAACATAAAGCGCTATAAAAACCAGGGTGACACTTATGAATGATGTAAATGACTGTATAAATCCTCAGTGTGCACTGCGAGAGAAACGGCTCCGACATAATGATTTCTCTTGGTTTTGGTGCATAGATAAGAGAAGAAAAAAGCAGAGGCGATGCAGCAGAATCAGGTCATCGGAGGGATTTAGCAGCAGTTCTCAGAGGCCTCCAGTCTGACATTTGGTGGATGTGCTTGGCTGAGGAGTCAATGGTGCAAAGCTTCCATCTGCGGGCTTATGGCATGAAATGATAGACTAATTGTAGCAATATATAACAGTGGTCTGGCATACTGGTTAGTATGTTTATTTCTCATAATGTGGCATTTTAACAGGTTGTCTCCCCGCTCGCTCACACACACATGCTTTCACACATGCTGAATAGGTGTGTGTGAGCTCAGTCTCTCTGCCAGGGGTGATGGAGCAGATTGAAAGAGCATGTTCGCAGTAAGCTAGTTAAATGTGGAAATGCATGTTCTGCACTCTGTTGTGTCCTTCAGTCAGCACTGTCACAATTTTTCACACCAAAAAAAAGTCTCTCTCTCCAGTGAGCTCAGGTGTTGTGTGGCAAAGAAAATCCTGTTACCTTTCACTAATTTGCTGTTAGCATTCATATGGTTTAATCCTACACCTTTTGATTACACATCTTTGTCCTCCTCCTTTCTGTCTGCATTGTGTAGCTGTGTCTCAATGTTGATTATTTCTGGAGTACACTGCATGTTCTGCACTTTGAACACTTGTGCAATTCTGACTGTGGTGTTGCCTCAAATCACACACTGCTGCTGTGCCTTTACCAGATGGGACAATCACCACTGTTAGCTAGCTATCGACGTCATTGTTCACGAGAATACAATATTACAGATGGCTCTATTACCAGTAGAATTAACAGTGGTCTTTTTCCCAACACTAGTTTTGAGGATCCTGCATTAAATATAGAAAAAAAAGACATGTACAACTTTTACTTGAATAGCTGTAGTGAATCTAACGTTACGTAGCAAAGATGAAGGTCATTGATACCTCCTTCACACCAACGCAACTCCGGTTCAAGCTCCGTGCTAGAGCTTTTCAGGTTCAGAACCGGTTCTTCGGTTTAGCTCCGGCTCTTTTCACACAGCCCAGAGTCCGACTGGTGCTGCGTCATTGCGTCATCGTTTGCGTCATGACGTAACCGTTTGCGTGCCTGCTTCATAAAGCCAAACCGNCATTTATCTGTAGGCTACTAAGCCTTATTAGAAATGGTAGTAACTCATTAATAAATGGGAATGTGTTTTACACTTTACAATAAGGCTCCCTTTTGGCAGCTGTTAGTAACTCGTAAATAAATGGTCATAAAGAGATGCCAAGAAACATCAAGATGGATGGGGGGGAATCAACTCAGTGAACAAC